AGCAAATGAGAAATGAGATGACATCTGTTCCCCTCCCACCCAGAGGTTTCCCCCAAAATTTCATCTCACCAAAGATAGAGCCTCTCTGCTAACACTGGGAACCACAGGGATAGGAAGGTGACTGGCTTTCTTTCAGACAAGCCTCAGGGTGGTATCTGACTGCAAAAGCAATTATACCATTTGTCCTTCAAGTGACAATAACAGCTACTACTTAAGCACCTACTTGGAGCCAGTCGCTATTCTAAGCCTTTACCCGTATTAACTCATTTGGACTTTTACAACACCCCACTGAAATAAATACTATCTACCAATTTCACAGACGAAGAAGCTGAGGCCAAGAGAAGGCAAGCAAAGTGCCAACATCACAGACCAAGTAAGTAGCAAACGTGAACCTGAGCCCCGGATCAGCCCCTGACCATTCGCTCCACAGGCTGGCAGCAGCGTGAAGGAGCCGCGCCTCTTCTCAGGGAGGAGGACAACCTCCAGTGTCCTGTGTCAGCATCCAGGGATTGCTTTGCCTTTTTTCAGTTCTGGGCTGCTCATGTCACATTTCTTTGTTTTCCTTTTTCTTTAATAGTAGTAAAACTCACATGAAATGTATCACTTTAACTACTTCTAGGTGTACAATTTAGTGGTGCTAAGTATCTTCAGGTTATTATGCAACCACCACCACCACCGACCTCCAGAACTTTTTGTATCTTCTCAAACTGAAACTGTGCCCATGACACAGAAAGTCCCTATCTCCCTCTTCTCAGCCCGAGGAGCTCCACTCTGCTATGACTGTAACACCTCTAGGCATCTCATGCAAATGGGCACCTCATATGAATGGAATCATTCAACGTTTATCCTTTCTGACTGGCTCTTTCCACTTTGCACATCATCAGGGTTCATCCATGTTGTAGAAGGTGTCAGAATCTCCTTCCTTATTAAGGCTGATTATCATTTCTTTCTATGTGGATACACCAGATTCATTTCTGTTTCTATTGATCCATTGCTGGATGCTTGGTTTCTGTATTTTAGCTATGGTGAATAATGCTACTATGAACACCAGTTAATGAACATGAGTCTCTGCTTTTAGTTACTTTCTGGTAGATATCTAGAAATGGAGTTGCTTGATTATATAGCAATTCTATTTCTAATCTTTGAAGAACTGTCATTGAGTTGTCCGTTCTCCCTCCTTCCTTCCTCCCTCCCTCCTTTCTTCATTCCTTCTCTCTCCATCTCTCCTTCCTTCCCTGTATTTTTGTTTTCACTTCCAGTAATAGCCAAGCACTTCAGTGGTCCACCCTACTTTACTTTCAGTAAACTTTTGCATTTCCCAGAAGGCCTCTGGACTATAAGTGACCATCTCAAAAACTAAAAAGCAATTTTTCTGTCTTTTCTTTTTTGGACTTTAGCTACAGAAGTCACCTGACTGGAAACTGAAGAAGAGCCCTCTTCCTCCAGAGAAAAGGAACTGTGCAGAAAGGCTGGCCCAGCAGCTAATTACAGGCTTTTACCGGGGATTCTTGCAAAAGCTTAAATTGCAGATCAACCTGACTTTTGTTAGGAAGTGTTTGGAAACACAAGAATGGGCTAGGTTTCAGATCCTCCGCCTAGAGGTGACAGCTATTTCCCTCCTCTGACAAGTAAAACAAGAAGAACCCTGTGGATCTGCATTCAGGAGAATTGCAGCTTTGCCTAGATTTGCAGCTCAGCCTCATTTCCTTCACTATTCAGTCTTAAGTTAAATGCCAGTCAGCTGGTATTTAACTTAAAAAGTGATGGTTCTGAACCCTGACTGAGCATTAGAAATACCTGGTGTACTTTAAAGGCATGTTTAAAGGTGTATTTACATCAGTCTTCCACCCTTATCTGCAGGGATTCATCCAAAGACACTGGTGGATGCTGGAAATTGAGAATAATGCCAACCCTCTGTATGTTTTTTCCTATGCACATACATATGATAAGGCTCATTTTATAAATCAGGCATAGTAAGAGCTTAGCATCAATAACCAATAATAAAATAGAACAGTTATAACAATGTATTAGTAAAAGTTACATGAATGTGCTCTGCTTATTTCTGGAATTTTTTATTTAATATGTTTAACATGACCACATTATATTTTTACTAAATTATGTATTTGAAACACTTTTCTCCATTTAATCACCTATTAATGATTAATATACTGATGGATATACTGGATTTTACTTAACGAGTCTCCTGTTGCTGAGCATATGAATGAATAGATTTTAGTTTTCCATATTATAAAACAACACTACTTTATTCATCTTTGTACCTAAATCTTTATTTCCATATGGCAAAACCCCTAGTATTTGTATTAAGGGGCAAGAATGATAGAAATTTGTGAAACTTTTGACCTCTGTTATCAAATATTGCTCTAATATATGTATTCCTGATACATATTTGGGAGTTGAAGGTCTCTTTAGGATATTTGGGTAAAGGGAAATAACACTTAGAATAGAATAGTTCCCTTTTTATATTAGTTTGATCCAGATTTATTCTTCTCTTTTTGTCATGGCAAATTTAATTCACTAAGTATAGCCAGAAACTTACTCCCACAAGGGACCATCTCTGTTTTTATCACAGTACACCAGGCAACAGTATTGAAGAGTTATTAAAAATAAAGAGTGCAATCCACTTGTCTTATTGGCCTGGCGGGATGGAACACATTCACTGTTAATTAAACAACAGTGAGACTCAGCATGATATCCCTGGAACAGTTAGGTCAGGGATAATGTCTGCCTGGTTCTCTGTGCTGTTGCTAAGACTTGGAAACCACATCTGGCCCAGAGAAGGTGTTTAATACACACTTGCTCAATTCATGAATGACTCTGTGAAAGGCCTCGCTCTCTGTCTGTGGATAATGTTCGGGCACCCCAGCAATGGTGTGAACGATGCATGCAGGCATGTTAAGGTGGTGCCTTCCGGGAGAAGAAACTGGAATGATGAACAAGGGAGCAAAATTTCTATTCAATAACAGCTGTGAGACTGCTCACTCTGAGCCAAGATGAGTGCTCAGCACTGCGTGTGGTGCTCTCACTGAGCCCACAATCATTTTGTTACTCTCACATCACACTGAGAAAATCTAACACACAGATCTTGCCCAAGGCCACCAAGGTGGGCAGGTGGCAAAGCCAGCCCATGCACTTCACCCCTCTTCTGATCCTCTGGCCTTATGCACCTTTCTGTTGCGTCACTCATTACAGCAAGTGTGCACTCCTTTTGTCATAGAATTCTGGGTAAAGTATGGAAGTGTCAGAACTTTCCATCGGGGCTCTCAATGCCCTCCAAGGTCACCTCCTTGTCCAACCATACCACAGGAAGTCCTTTATTCCAGGGAGACTTGGGAATAAGTGTTTTGTGTTTAATCTATTTTGGTTTGGTCATATTCTCACTATCTGCCTTTCAAGGATTTGACAGAAGTCCTTGTCTTCTGTCTGGGCTTGACTCTAAAGAGAGCTCATCCCTCGTCTGCCTGTAACTCCATCTGAGCAGCACTTGTAGCAGACTGCGTCAGTGCGAGCTTCACATCTGCACAGGGTGGGCATTCCTTGATGGGATACAGACTCTCTGGGTAACAGGCCCTGAGACAGTCCAGGACCATTCTGCCTTGGAGAGTCTCCGATGGGGGACATGAGCAAACATGGTGTAGGAAACAAGGAGTTCTTGCAGAGAAGCCTTATGTGCAAGGGTTTTCAGCACGTGGGAGATCTGGGGTCTCTAAACATAGGAGTTTGCAGTTGAACTTCATAAGAGTAATGTTGAATCCCTAATGCCTATGCTCCCTGATGCTTGAGGAAATGGAGGCCCTTGACCATGGAATTGGCAAGACCAGAACTTGGCTCTCTTAGCTTGAGACACTGAGTGGGCTGCTGGGTTTCAAGTCTCAGGCCCTACCCCTGAAACTGGAGGATGTTGACATACTTGACGGGGTTGGTTATGGTGAATCTTAGCAATGAGATGGGGAAGTTCTCACTGTGATCAGCACACGGGCAATAAGAGCCATTACTTCTACTAACTGTCACCCCACTGTGCACAGTTTCTAGGGTGGCTCCCCCTGATTCCCATTCCTCACCATTTACACCCTGAAAAAACCTCTTCCTCCTGAGTGTGGTGGAACTAATGAGCTGCTCTAAAGCATCAGACAGGGCAAAAATGATTCTTTCTTGCCCTGTCTTACTCCCTCACTTGATCACTGTGATGGGATCCATCTCCCATGCTACAAGTTGCCCTACGGAAGCCCACATAGACAAGGAGGTCCCTGAAAGAAAGAAACCAGAAAGAAACTGGGCCTCCCATCCCACCATCAGCAAAGCGCTGGATTTTAGACAGCTGTGTGAGAGGATCTGAAAACAGATCTTCCCTGGCTGGGCCTGCAGATATGAGTACAGCCTTGTCTGAGAAACTCAGCCAGAACTAGGTAAGCTAGGCCTGCATCCTGAGCTACAGGGACTGTGAGAATAAACGTTTGCTGATTTTACAGTGATTTACTATGCAATAATAGAACTAACACACTGGAAACAATAGAATAAATTACATTCTGGAAAAATAAACAAAATTGTATCAGATAATGGTACTTATACTTCTGCTTAAGCAACTTGCATCATCATCATCATCTTTGTCATCTAAGCTAATATAAAATGAGTCCTTATTATGTCCCAGGGATTTACATATTTGAAAGTCATTTAACTCTTCACACAAACCTTTTATTGTGGAAATTTTACGAATGAGGAAACTTAGGCTCAGAGGCATTAACTAAATTGCCACAGGTATCAGTTATCATGTGGTAGGTCCAGGAAATATAGTACTAGAACTGGATTGTTCTATGGATTGATGAGTCTTGTAAAAAATCATAGGCAGTAAGTGAACTGGATCCCAGTAGCTAAATATCAGATACTAAGTTTTTAAACATAACTCTTTCAGATGGCTTCTATCTCTAGGACAGCAAATTGAAATACCTTACTTGGGGCTCACCAGGGTTTAGGATGCTACCAACCTGTAAACACCAGGCTGGCATTTTCCAGTTCTTCCTGGGGAACTTTGAAGCTGAAAGATTCATTGTAGAAAGGGTCAATTGTGCCTCTTAAGAAGGATGTCTTCTTGGTTTTCACAAGCTTGAGACCATGCACCAACTGGATTTTCACAAATGGGTCTGAGAACAGAACACAGCACCACAGAATATTGGAGCTCATGACACATCAACCTGATCCACCCATACATCCTTTCATTCATACATTAATTAATCATCCATACATCTGTCCATTCATCCATCCAACTTCATATCTATCTCTCAGTCTATCCATTCATTTATTCATCTAGACATCCAGCTATCTACCTTCCCATTCACCCATCAGGTCATCCTTATCATCATTTCATTATCCTTTTATTTATTCATTCTGCCATCCACCCATCCAAGTTCCCTTCTATTGACAGCCCAACCATCCATCCATCCTTCCACCTATTTTACCATCTACCTATTTACTGATAACCTATTCATTCATTGATCCTCCCATTTATCAGTTCAGGTATGTTCCTTTTGTCTCATTTATTTATTTCTCCATCTATCCATTATTTTATTACCTATACATCATTTTCCTAGCTACCTCTCTTCTTCCAGTTATCTAATATTTTTCCAACTTTTCCCATGTTTTGGGTACAAAGTTTATTTTGTAAATGAGAAAACCAATGAATCAAGATGAAAAATGACTTGCTTAAGATCTGGCTGGTGGAGGCAGTACCAGACTCAGAGCCTTTCTGTCTGTAGAAACCTGCTATCATGAAAGTGAACCCATGATCCATATATAGGAAAGCAGAGATGGGTGAATTGTAATCATCATCTTTATATTTTTTATAGTTACGTACATTATGTGACTTAATATTTGTTTAAGCAATTCAGTGAGAAAAATATAGTTTTTATGTCAATTTTTAAGATGCAGAAATTGAGGTATATAGTAACTTCCTTAAGGCCACATCATTTGCAAATAGTAAAGTGAATCAAACTGAGATTTGGCTTCAGGCAGTTTGGCTCCAGAAGTCTTAGTCATTTTATCTATAGACTCTCCCAATGTGATGACTTTGATGTGATGACTCTCCAATCTTTATACCATTTTTTTTTTGCCATTGGAATCTTTGAGTCTTCTGTTTTATAATATGGCTTATGAGCATACAAGGCACCTTCTAGATTCAGCTGTCACCTGATTGCAAATGTAATTTTCTTTGGCTATTTCCCTTAGAGAAGACAGTGTTTCCCTCACTGAGTCGAAGGATCCCAAAGACCATGGTTAAATAATATCCTTGTGCTGTTGTGGGAGAAGCTACATATAGACAATATGGAATCTGGCTCCATTTCATTACAAGTGATATTTGAAGTGGTTTGCTATAAAGTGGTAGACACTGAACAACAGTCTTTCAGTGCTAGGATTTATAAAGATTTGTGGTGTTTGCACAATGAGCTGGGAAAATCCCTCAGGCTATGTTCACCAAGGCTGTTGATTAGAAAGAGCAGTTGTTAAGTGTCTACGAATTTATAGAAAACCACCACTGCCTGCAGCACGGTGTCTCTACTCTAGGCATAGCGTTTGGAAAGGCAAGTCGCTTCCTTGAGGCTTCAAGTGTTCAAAGAAGATCTAGATTTCAAGTGATTGTACCTGGTCACAGTCAACTTTCTGACTCATAGACGACATCCTGTGCCTGCTGCATCCTAAGAGATAAGTGTGATCATTTATTTTCCTCACTGAACAAGGGCCCTACTCTGAATGCTCTCCACCCTCACAGAGCCTTATCAGTAATATCCAGAGTACAGAAAAGCTGGATTCCCCAAAAACATTGATGCCCCCTTAAAGAATTGGGGGAGGAAGGGGTCACACTGTACCTGAGCCTTGGCTCACATCTGTCTGCAGAAGTTGCTTGGCTCGAATGATGTCAACGTTCAGCCTCCCAGCACTTGGGAGGTAATTCAGTGACAGAAGCAGCTCCCCAAGCTCCACCTCATTCTGCAGAGAAAGAAAATGATCAGAAATATGCTTCCTTTTTCTATTTCTTTTTGCACCCACTGTGCAGGGAATTTCACTCCAGCATCTCACAATGAGTTGCTGTAGGTGGATCAGTTGACATTGGGTGCTTCTTTCTTTGACTTCTTTTAGCTTCTGCCTCCAATTATTTTCTTCAGTCCATCTCAGAAAGTTTTTTCCTGTTCTCAAAATGCTTAGCAGAAGCAGCAGCCGCAACAATAACAGCAAAAGAATTGATAATTTAAAAATATAATATGCCATCTACTATGCTAAGCCCTTTACATGCAGTAAGTAATTGAATCTTCATGGTGAGTCCAGGAGGTACAGTATTCATATTAATCTTATTTAATAGATGAGGAAACCGAGGTTAGAAGGGCTCAAATAATAGGTTCAAGGTCAAATGACTAGAAAGTGGGATAGCTGGCCTTTGGACCCAGGGAAGCTGACTCCAGATACTCTAACCACTGTATTACTCTGATTTCCCCAAGGATACCTGAAGGCAGGTCCTGGGAGGCAAGACACCTTGCAGAGAAGCTACTGAGTGAGAAGCTGTTCTTAACCTGTGGCCCACAGAAGAGCCCACACTTCTTGTTTCACCATGGCAACATTCAGCATGTGGCCTCTTGCTGAACAGTACCCATACTCTCAATGTCAGTGCTATCATACTTGTGGAAAATCCACATAAGCATCTAAGCATGACTCCATACTGCCAAAATGGCTACAAAACAGGAGCTTTTCCTTTTGAAAAAAAATGTAGAAAATTTCAGCCACTTCAAATTAATAGGCTAAGGCCAGGAATTTAGTTCAGCAGCACAAGTACCTGCCTGGCAAGTGTGAGTTCATGAGTTTGATCCCTAGTACCAAAAAAAAAAAAAAAAGTTAATAGTCTAACATAACTGACATACATATCCTCATCATCCAGTTGTAATAATGAGCAATGCACTTTGCTAAACATATTTTACCTATTCTCCTATAGAAAAGTTTTGCTAAACATTACAAGTCCCAGACATGATGTCCTTTTATTTATATATCCTTCAGAATATATCTCTAAGTGAAATAGATATTAAAACAAACATCCCTAACATAGAAAACTTTCAGTCATCTTAGAACACAGAAAAGTATAAGGAACCTCCAAAAACCTCCCATCACTCACTCAGCTTCAAAAATTATTGTATTGTCCAATTCAATTCACCTATCCCTTCTTTCAGCTTCATATATTGTTCTGTAGTAATTTCTAGACATCACATTATGCCATTTACAGCATTTTAGTACTTCTAAAGGATAAGAGTCAACCACTCCCACCCACCACCCATCCATCCTCCATCCTCTTACCTACCTATTCATACACCCACTCATCCATCCCACCCATCCATTCATCTATTCATCCACAAATCCCATCCATTCACCACTTAATCCTCTCCATCCTTTTGGTGGCAGTCATTTAGCAAACTAAGGTCAAGTGGTAGCTCTACAACAGTGCTTGGCAAATCACATTTACTCAATAAACATCTGGATAGGAACAAACCAGAAGATTCTTGTACAGAGAAAGTCGGACCCCACACAAACAAGAAACAACCTGGCATATTAACTCAAGGTTGGAAATTGGCTGCCTGTGGGTGTGTTGTTTGGCCCACAGCATGTTTAAACAGATAATTACTTGTGAATTGTTATGTAACTCAAGAATTAGGATATTTTACAGTTTTTTTTTTTTAAAAATCTGTATTTCTGGTATTGTATGAAAAACAAGAAGGTCTGATAATACTAGGCTTATGTTCTCCCTAGAAAGTGACAGGTTTCTTTGCTTGGCCAAACTTTATTCAGGCTCCTGAAATTTCTCCTCAGCCCATTTTTTTTTGCACTGCCTTGCAAAACCGATTGTTAGTTAAAAAAAAAAAAAAAAAAACACTGCTAAGTTCATTTAACAGGAACTCCTTACCTTTCATACCTGATCAGCCTCTTTATCTGAAATCTGATGATGTCTGATCACCCTGGACTTGAACCCAATGTCACTTTCCCACCATAAAAATCCCATCACCATGGTGCCTCTAACTACCATGATGGTCCTGAATCAAGTCTGCCTAACTGTGCTTCAAAGGTGTCACTGGATATTTTTTCTTTATCATCATGCAATACTCAGTAGATAAGACCTGCCCCTTCATATTACCATGCCCCATCTGCTCATCTTCACCCCTTTGGGTGACCAGCAACCCTGATTTGGGCATATGATTTCCAAGACAGGAATTGTCAACTCAGTGTCCTAAGCAAATAAAACAAGTTTAGATCCCTTTAACAGTTGCTAGAGACTTCCTGCTGGTTCTCAGGGACCTAGAAGAGACAGCATCCTTACATATGAACTGGAAGTCATATTTATCTTCAGGCACATAAGGCTGGGAATTCTGCAGGAGCCCAGGCTGTGGAGAAGCCATTTGTATTCTCCTAGACTTTGTTCCTCCTAGGTCACAAATCAGAGTGACACCTCCTTCCTTTGAAAGTCCACCAGCTTCTCTCATGATGCAGCTATACATGGTGGAAGGTAGGGGATGGATTGTAATGCAGTCAAAGTATATAAACAAGATACAAACATGGAACCTAAAAATCTAATGTCAGGGAAGGTAATTTATTTAGTGATGGTCCAACTGAGAAAGAGTTTGGCAAGGAGTTAGCTTACCTATATGGACCAGCATATAGCTTACATATATAAACCAGTACATGAGATGCTTCTGGGTCAACTGGGAGGGATTTTGCACCCAGGAGACACCAGGCAAAGTCTGAAGACATTGTGAGTCATCACAACAGTCGTGGGGGTGCTAAAGACATCTACTACTGGATAGAGGCCAGGGAAACTGCTCCACCTCCTACCAGCCATAGGACAGCCCTACAACAGTTATTCAGCTCAAAGAGACAAGAGACTGAAGAACAACAGATGGTTACTGGGCCGGAAAAGGAAAGGGATTAGAGGTGTTTTTTGTTGTTGTTTTGTTTTTTGTGGTACTAGGGACTGAACTAAGGGCCTTCGCAATAAACTACATGCCCAGTGCTTTTTATTTTTATTTTGGACAAGGTCTTGTAAGTTGCTCAGGCTAGGTCTGAACTTGCAAAGAGTGCTGATATTCCAGGCATACATCACCATACCCTGCTCTAAATGTTTTTTTTTTTTAATAACAAAGTCAGTTGTCCTTTGACCCCACTAGTTCTAGGTGCAGAAATGTACCCACACACTTACATGAAGATGTACACAGCATATGCTGAATAGCGTATCTTAGTCTGTTAATTTACACAGGCCTACTATGTGCCTGTGAAAGGGATACATCTGTGCATGGAACACAGTTCCTGGCCTTATAGAATAAAGGCTCCAATGGAGAAGATAGGTAACATACTGAATAAAAATATACATCAACGAGGCGATTCTGGATAATGTTGATCAATTACTGGGAAGAAAAATAGCACATTGAGAGAGATGAAGGGCCTTTCACGGGTGATGGGAAATACTATAACTTAAGTGGTGGTAGTAGAGGTCACAGATGACTCCTTTAAAATGTCTGAATTTATGACATGTAAATTCTACCTCATACAGTTGGTTAAATATGGAAGATTTGAAACAAGAAAATACAGCAAAATACTGGGAGCTTATCAGATCTGAGCAATGAGTACTTGAGTGTTTTATGATTTTGGGGGGGGGGAACAGAAAACAAATATTAAAACAGAAGGCAAGACAAATTGGGCAGGGCAGGATACTGATGAAGGATGGGTACACGTGGAAGCTGCCACTCCAGTCAGAGTGGGGGAGCTCAGGAGGAGAGCCACTGTGAGGGCCTCAGGCAGGAAGGACTGGGCTACACCAGGCAAAGGAACAGCAAGTGAAAAGTCTGATGGCAGAAGGAGGGAGAAACAGACCTGGCGTGCTTAAAGAACAGAGGGAAGGGAAGCATGGTTGCAGTGTTGCAAGAGCCACCCAGCCACACTCACAGGAACCATGAAGAAGACATGAGGCCACTTTCCAGGCCCTTGGCACCCAATGGTTGGTTACAACCACCTTCAAGAGTGAACAGAATATCCCTTTCTCTCCCCTAGAGCTACCAGCCAGACCTCAAGCAAGGGCGCTTCCCAGACTCACTGGCTCTCTGTTTGTTTCTCATCTCAAATAAACTAAAGCTCTTCTGTTTCTTCTTCCTTTTGTAGTATGCAGGTTTGCTGCTCTCTCTGCTTATTCTGTCTCCATCCCAGACATGCATGATGGCTTTTATGGTGGGTTTCTCCAGGCAAACATTCGCATTGATCCTTCTTTCTGCCTGATGACAGGAGTGATCAATTTTTAAGGCTGTTGTCTGGAGTCAGGGAAACAGTTGGTAGAAAATAAAGACAGGGCCAATTGGACAATATCAAAAAGCTTGTTGATTCACTTTCAAAATGCTCAATTAACAGTTACTGGATCCTCAGCACTAGAGACATCATGGCCATGAGCACGGTCCCAGGTACAATAAGGCCAATTTTCATTTTCTCTCTTCAACAATCTAGAAGCTCCCATTTCACAGATGAAAGAACCAGGATTCAAGAACAGGATTCAAATTCAGCCCATACATTAAACTGGATACTGTACTGCCAGTGATTAAAAGTGCAGTCATAAAATCCAAGCAGTCACAGTTGACTGAGCTAGAGCAGCAAAGATATAAAGCAAATCCAAATTCCAAGGGTTCCACATCCACCAGAATGGCTGTGATAAAACACAAATGAATTCACAAAACCAGAAAATAGATTGTTGGTGAAAGCATATAGAAATTAGAACTTTGTACTTGGAAAGTGGAAATAGAAAACTGTACAGTCACAGTGGCAGGTCCTTAAAAGGTTAGCCAGCAATTCCACATCTAGGCCTATATCTGAGAGAACAGAAAACATACACCTACACACGAACCTGTACACAAATGTTCACAGCAGCACGATTTACAATAGTCTGAAGGTGGAAACAGCCTGATGTCCATCACCAA